ATGACTACAGCACTTAGTGATGGGGTAGTCTTCCACTATTAGATAGACATATAGGAGGAAAGTAGATTGTTATTGCTGTTAGGAGGCAGGGGATTACCTCTTTGAGTCACTGAGAAGTGTACTAAAATAAATTACAAATCAGCATGTTTCTTCAGAGAATTCTGGGACACTGTCAGGAAACAGAACAGGAGTACTTGTGGCACCTTAGAGACTAACAAATTTATTTGAGCATAAGCTTTTGCGGGTTACAGCCCACTTCTTCGGATGCATAGGAAACAGGGAAACTAGATGGACATCCAGTGATCAAAGGGTCCGCATGTTTAATTTAAGGCCAGTAAAACAATAACAGATACTTAAAGAAAATTATTCTTTATCCCAAATATTTTAATGCATGATCAAAAATAATCTCAACACTGCAATCCTGCTGCCCTCTTGTCAACTTTGAGGCAGTTCAACAGAGGGTGATTGCCAAGGACACAGCCTCCCCTGGTGGCCAAACACGTGTATTACATACACTACATCCTAGTTTACTTGGGCGACTGTACTGGGCGGTGACCTGTAAAGTTTCTGGTATCGCTAGCAATCAGCCTGATTCACCACAACTCTCAGAACGTGTCGGGCACATTACACGGGGGTAATCGGGGCGGCAGTTCAGTAACATCTGCAAGGGCAGCGTGCACGTGGGACTGCAGCCGCAGGAGTTTTCCCGAAGCCCGCAGAGGTGGGACTGACCCGCCCAAAGCCGTGCGAGGCCCGGCGGCACAGTGGAAGGAAGTGATTGCGGCACCGGGTTCGCTGCCCTGCTCCATCACAGGCTTCCTGCCTGAGCCGGGGGAGTCCCCCCGCCTCATCTCCCTGGAGCAACCCGGGGCTCGCCCGGGGCTCCGAGGGAGCTACACGAGCGGGCGGCGCTCGGGCGCTGCCGTGACAGGGGCCGTATAAATACCTGAGCCGGGTCTCCAGGAGCAGAACTCAGGCAGCTCCTCGGAGCTGAGCCCGGCCCGCGCACGCGGCCCTTCCCTTCCCTTCCCCCTGCGGGCGCAGGCGGGGACCGGGAGCTGACGAACTCTCCGCGCACATGGAGTCACAAAAACGACAATTCCCAGAATGCATTGCCCAGCCTGCCGTGCCCCACGGCCTTCCGGGCTAGCGCCGCGGTGCACGCTGGGAGTCGTAGTTTCTTTACGCAGCTCAATGGCTCAAGTCCTATAAGAGGCGCGTTAGTGGAAGGACTTCCTTTCCCATGATGCAGTGGAACGGATCTACGCAGAATGTGGCGCGCCGTCGGCGACGGCAGCGGTGCCGGTGGCACCGGGTGAGCTGGGAACGGCGGCTGCGGGGTCCCGGCTGCGCCGGGTACCAGGCGTGGGGCATGTCGGAGAGCGGCGGCGCCGGCGGAGCTGCCTCAGGCGGGGGAGGCGGCGTCACTGGAGCTGGGGGAGCGGCGGGGTCTGGGGGCGCGGCTGCTGGGGCGGGGCCTGGCGCCACCGACCCGGCCTCGCTGCCCCCCGGGGACGCGCAGCTCATCGCGCTCATCGTGGAGCAACTCAAGAGCCGCGGCCTCTTCGACGGCTTCCGCCGGGACTGCCTGGCCGACGTGGACACCAAGGTACCGCTGCAGGGGCCCGGCCCCACCAGCGCATCCCCCGGCTGCTTACCCGGGGAGGGGTCTTCCGACGGGGACACCTGAGCACTGGGCCTGGTTCCCCCCTATTCCGGGACCGCCTGGCCGACGGGAGCACCCGGGCGAAGCTTCTCAGCCGGGTACCCTCCTGCTTCTCGGAACCTAGTCGCCTGGGCGTCCTCTGACCCTGCTAAGCCTCTATCGCACTGGGAACTAGGTCTGGCCCTTGCTAAGGCTCCAGCGGCTCTGCTGGGACTGCCTTGCTAACATGGGCAACAGGATGGTAGGGACTTCTCCCCACCCAAGACCCCTGGTCTCACTACTTGATTGCCCCGGTTTTGGCCTGGGCTGCTCGGCTGACATGGGTACCAGGGGCTGTGTATCTCCTCCCCTTCCTCTCTCAAACAGCAACCCCCAAGTTCTGGTCTCTTGTCTGAAACCATCCCCTAGTTTCCAGATGCCATCCTGAAAGGGGTTCTGCTTCAGCCACCCACTTCATTGTAGGCCCTAACTTTATTTTGGGAAGCCTGGATCTGTCTGTAACGCGGTTCCATTTGTGGGGAGGAGGGAGTATGCACAGCACTAGCCCAGGGCACTGCCCACAAAATCCTGAGGCAAGGCAGGCCTTTCTCATGTCTTGGTGCTGCAGACATGGTCCTCTGGGCCCCAGCTGCTGCAGCCAAGAAGAGTGACCTAAACTATAAATATGAGTGGTTCATGGAGTACAGGGGAGAATATGGAGCTTTTCAGTTTTCCATTATTGTACCATTGTCTGTCCTGTAAGGGCACAAGGTTCCCCCCCCTCTTGTGTTCTTTTTCTGACCCTGCACATGCCCTTCCAATTTCTGTGGCCAGGGTCTTCCTGAGAGACCATGGAAAGCAATATTGGTAATTCAATAAAAGTCACTATTCCCTAAGTCATTTCTGACTGTGGTGCAGGAGTAGGGGACACCAAAGCTGCAGGGCTGGCCTTCACTTGGAAGTCCTGACCAGTGGCAGTTTTGTGTTTCATCCATCAGTTGAAGTCCTCTTGCAGGAATTGGGTCAATCCCCACTGTCTTGTCACCCTCACAGGGTGATTGATAACTTTCTGCCTTCCTAAGCTTTGCCTGAGGCTTCTACAGAATGTGGCTTCCCTTTCTGTCCTAAACCATTGCAGCATTTCTAAACAACTGTCTTGTTCCACCCTATAGGCACCTGCACTTTGCCAGTGGGGAAGTGACTCCTGTCTGTGCATAGTTTGTAAAGCATTTCAGGATTTTTTTAACATAAAGTGCTACTTAAAATGAACAAATATCTTTAAACCTTTGTAACCAACTACACCTCTACCCGGATATAACGCGGTCCTCGGTAGCCAAAAATCCCTACCGCGTTATAGGTGAAACCCTGTTATATCGGGGTAGCAGCGGCAGGGCTCCAGCGGTGATTTAAAGGGCCCGGGGTTCCCTGCAGCAGCCGGAGCCCCGGGCCCTTTAAATCGCCAGCCGAGCCCTGCTGCCGCAGTCCCGGGGAAGCAGCAACAGGGCTCTAGCGGTGATTTAAAGAGCCCTGGGCTCCGGCCGCTACGGGGAACCTGGGCCCTTTAAATTGCTGGCCGAGCCACGCTGCTACAGCTCCGGGGTAGTGGCGGCAAGGCTCTATCGGTGATTTATAGGGCCCGGGGCTCCCCGCAGCAGCTAGAGCCCCGGGCCCTTTAAATCGCTGCCGGAGCCCCAAGGTTACCACGCTTTATGCATTCCCGTGTTATATCAGGGTAGAGGTGTATCTACTTTAGCAGTGATGTCACTTGTTTATTTGGCAATTGCTACTATTCTTCTTGCTGAAATGTTAAGTTGTAGCCGTCCTGACAAATGTACTACATACGGTATCCTATTTAAGAACACAGATTCCTTTTCTGCTTATTAAAAAATGTGTACTAGAATTAATGCTCTTAAAGGGGGATAGAATTTAAAGCTGACAGAACAAGTACAGCAACAGTGCAAGCTTTCTTGATCCAGAGGGACCAACATTGGAGTGGGAAAGTCTTGAATAGAAGTTTTGATTTCCCATCTAATTCCACCGAGAGCATCAATATTGATAACCTATCCGCTCCTGGTCTGAAACCACCACACCATTCTGCATTAGACCGTGGAACAACCACCTATCTGATCAGAACAGCTTTCAGTCACAACAGGTGTAAATGGAATTCGAACTGGCCACCTACATGGGGTAGGCTCCGTAGCATATTGTCAAGGGTATCACTGTAATTTTTGATGCTGTCTCTTGTTATGGTGATTCTTGTCTTGCTATAAGACATTTGCCACCTTTTTGCCCTCTCCTTGCACCACACTAGTAACTGGCATTTCCCCTCCACAGTAACATGACCATCTTCTAACGTCTGAGGAACAGGAAAAGGTAGAATTACAGAGCATTTAACAAAACGACACCCTCACCCCCCCCCCCCACTTTCCCAGCTCTCATGTTCCAGCATTAAAGTGTTACAGCAAGCACATCTCTTTCTTTGTACTAGTGTTCATTTTATTTGGTTAAAATGTCTCGTAGGAATTTTATGTTGGTTGGAAATCGTACAAGAAACCTGCTTAAATATAACTCTTGCATGCACAGGCAATTTGCATTCCATTCAGTGACTCGGAAGCAGATAGTTGCAAAACAGGTGTCCAGCTATTGCAATTATAATAAATTGATAGTACCATCTAGAAACTGCTCTTTGCAATCACCATTTTGTACTCTTGAGTAAAATAAACTTACTTTTGTTCAGAAAAAATACAATAAAGGCGACCTGTCCCGACACCTTCAAAAGACAAGCCTGTGAGCTTAAATTCATAACTTTGCTAGACACTAAAAATTATCTTCTTAATGAAGACACAGGATTTATGGCTTATTACAACAATCTAATCTATTAACTTCTTTTTTTTTTTTGTCATTTGACTGCTGAGGTTAACAGGCCACTTCACCTTGAATGGTCCCGTACAATGTGTGTTTACTTATGCTAAACAATCTGTGCTACATTGTATTTAGCTGTGACACTGCGTGCTTTTCCCAGACCTGAAGAAGAGCTCTGTGTAGCTTGAAAACTTGTCTGTCTCCAACAGAAGTTGGTCCAATAAAAGATATTACCTCACCAACCTTGTCTCTCTATAAAGGAGAAAAGACAGTTAAACAAAACAGTAATAGACCACAAAAGATGTATTATGAAGGATTCTTGCAGGGAATTGTTTCAAGATCTTTTAGTTAAACTGGATTTTTTTTTAAGCCAGCATACCAAAATCTGAGGCAGAAAGTGGACAACTTTGTATCTACCCATCTGGACAAACAGGAGTGGAACCCAACCATGAACAAAAACCAGTTACGAAATGGTCTGAGACAGAGTGTGATTCAGTAAGTAAGCAGCATTCTGTAAATTGATAGGAATGTTTTTTGATAGATGAAAACTGTAATAGTCACATATCATTGCCCTAACTGGCTGAGTGCATTTGGACAATTTTAAGGGTTGAATTCAACCTGCTTTTGTCATTTGTGCCCTCCTAGATTTCACTGTAGCAGGTCAATGCAGTTTGAGTTAACTCACATCACAGCAATGTTCCTTGAGGACGAATAGGCAGTTTCCCAGAGTAGGGTAATACAGTCAACATCGGTTGAAGTATTGAATATGTTGTTGAAGTGTAGCATTCTCTACCAAAGCATTGCATCATACAGTTAACACCATGGTTGCTAACTAAGCTGCATATGAGGTTTGGAACTGAACTTGTGGTCTTCTGCTTCAGAAACAGGCATTTACCATTTAAGCAAAAGAAGGATCTCTTATTAGGTCTCTTCTGTTTTTTGCAAACCTCCAGCCACTAGTGGGCAGTAATCAAATTCAGGCTAGTCTGATTCCATCCAGCAGATGGCACTGTTGGCACAAGTAGACAGGACATTAAAGCCATAGGGTTTTTTGGTTGTGTGAGGTTTTTTCGTTTTGTTTTTTGTGTGTTAAATGCAAACAAAACAAACATGTCCATGGAGTACTAGGCTTACTAACTCCTACTGCTACTCCAGTTTACTCTGTAACTTGTGCCACTGGCAAACTTGTTGAATAAACCTTCAGTGTTTTCAGGGAGGCCATGTTCAGTTTTATGGAAACATGCACACATAGTCTGGAAAAAAGCTTTAACTTGTGGATTTCTCCTGAGACTGGTGCCTAGGTAGCACCTCAGTAAAGGTGGGGGTGGAAATAAGTGGAAGGACAAGGGCATGAGTAGGGAAGAATCAGGGAAATGGAGACTGGCGTTTAATTTCAAAAGGAAAATAACTAAACATACAGCAGTAAGTGTCTTGTAGGAAGCAAAATTAGAATTTCAGAGCAAGTAGCAGAAACTACAGATGTCTACTTCACATACAAACTGCTTGGCCTAGTCAATGAAGATTGGCCTAATTACCCTGAGATCAGGGTAGAAGTTAACTAGATGTACTGATTTTTGCATTTTACAGTATTGCTTGAAAGGGCTCACGTGCAAAATACAGCAACAACATAAAGAGAAGTGTGGCCAACAATCAGAAACTGGCAGTAATGGATTAATAGTACTAGAGTAAGCCTTAATATTCCTTTCACTAGAGTAAAATGGCATTTGTACTGTGTTACAAACCAGGGAGCTTTGCTCCCTTTTAAACACAGTTAGGTGAACTACTGGTATAGGCAATCCCTACACCAGGATTAAGGGTTTAGAGTACTCACTTAAGTTACTATGAAGGCTGCAAGAATAAGATAGTTGAAATGTGCCAAGATGTGTACGTGTGTATCCATCCATCATCGGATAAAAGTACACACATTCATCTAACTATATTAGACTTTATTTGATGTCCACATGACCTTGAAAAGCAGTGGATGTGGTCATGAACATGAACATTCTCTCATGAACATTCACTGCCATGTTAGTCTGGTGGCTGATTTTCCAAATGCTAGGCAATGTCTGTTTCCCTTCCCCTGGTCTCTTGCAGACATGACTTAAACCCGCCAGACTGCTTGTGTCCAACAGTCCAAGATTCTGACGCAGCCGCTAAAGCAATAAGTCACTTTAGTTACCAGCCCTCAGTTCCAAAAAACTCTCTATATTTTGTGCTGTGTGCATTTGTATGTTTTTTTCCTTACAAAAATACCTGCGTAGGTACTGCCTACTGGCTGTTGCAAGGAGCAGGTGATGGTAACGATATCGGGGTGAAGGCCTCTTCTCAATTTGGAGTGTTAGCCCAAGGAAAAAAAAATCAACCTCTCACCTGCTGTCCTCGTACATTTTGTTTGCCTTGTTTGTGCCAAAGCATGTTTTGTTTGTTCCTTCTGACCTCATTTCAGAATGAGCACTCCTGAAGTGGCTCCCATCCAGTATTTCATTTCAGTACCTGGGAGACCAGATGTCAGTTGTGAACACTGCAGGAGGGAATAGAAAAGTTGATAGGTGGAAATGTCCTGGTTTCTGGGTGGTGACTGGAAAGCCTCCCTCCTGAAGGAGCTACCAAGTGGGTTGCAGCTTTCACCATATTAAAACTAATTGCAGCTGACATGAGGGCTCTGGAGAGTTCCCAGTGGGGGGAGAGGGGAAATTGCTTAGAGTAGCTGAATGACTCCTTTGTCTTTGCCCAAGGTCAGGGATGCTGGAAGCTGGAGTGGACAGAATTATTTCTCAGGTGGTGGATCCAAAACTAAACCACATCTTCAGGCCGCAGATAGAGAAAGCGATTCATGAGTTCCTGGCTGCACAAAAGAAAGAGGAAACTGTGCCAGCTCTTCCACCAGAGCCTGAGAATCAGGATCCTCCTGCTCCATCCCAAGATGCCTCGTAAGGTCTTGTATCATTGCACCTTCCCACTCGCTCCTAGTTAGCAAACCCTCTCACTTAATTCACTTGCATAGCATTAAATAGGGAACATAAACTACACTGGCCAGCGGGCCAGGACCCTGATATTCTGTCCTGGTTTGGTACCAAAAACACTACAAGAGGAAAGAACCAGAGACAGTTCAGTAGTAGTCCTACCGTTTACAAACCTTCAGAGTCAGAAATGCAGACCTTGTACCACTGGAAAACTGGCTGTGGTATTCTACCTGGCTTTACAGGGAGTAAAGGTTTTCTTTCTGATCATCAGCGTTTTACTAGAACATCTAGCAGTTATACTAAGTGACTGCTAAAAGCATATCCGAATCGGAGATAAGGATGATGCAAAATGATTATCTAGGACTAGGGAGGAACACTCTGGCCAGCAACTATGCTTTCAGGGCCGGTTTTGGAACAGTGATCGAAAAGGACTTTGGTCCTTTAAAAGCAGGTTGTGAGACAACTGCAAAAATTGAATTGAGTGAATAAATTTCAAGTGGATTAAAAATTAAGAAGTGCTGAAATACAACCAAAAATTGAGCTAAGGACAAAGTATGCAGATTTGGCATTAAAGTTGTAGATGATTGGTTTCTTCAGTGGAACTTAAGTTTGAGTTTGTTTCTCTAACACAGGGGTCAGCAGCCTTTCAGAAGTGGTGTGCCGAGTCTTCATTTATTCACTCTGATTTAAGGTTTCGCGT